GCCCACCTAGGTCCTAGTGCCAGTCCGGTCCGGATTGAATTCCATTTTAGTGCCGGTGGACGCATCGTGCACGAGGATGAAAGGAAATCTGTATGAAACTTAGGACGAGAATTAAAAGTACAGAAATAATAGTGAATTATAAAAAAAGAGTCCAGGTAACTAACGTTTATAAAATAAATATTTTCAGTTTTGCTAAATCCCCTCCATCTATTTTGAAGCAGAAGATCAGTTGGAAATTGGTGTAATGGCCTGATCACCTAGTACACAGTACAGAAATAATAGGGAATTATAAAAAGAGTCCGGGTAACTGACGTTTCTAAAATAAATACTTTGAGTTTTGCTAAATCCCCTCCATCTATTTTGAAGCAGATGATCAGTTGGAAATTGGTGTAATGGCCTGATCACCCAGTACACCATGATTTGACAGGAGACACTGCTTCGAAAATTATTTGAAATTATTTAGAAAAGAAGTCAGAGTTTTAAAGATAATAAGAAAGTAAATTTATTTGAACTACGATTTGAGAAACATGTTTTATTATTTGCTTATTGGAAATTGTTTTGAAGTTGCATTAATAATAAATAGTATAGAATATGAAGTTGAATGATAATTTCAATTAATATATAGATTAAATTCTAGAAATGTTACGGTTAGGGAATAAAAAGTGGAAATTGTAATTTAAATTAAATTAAAGGTTAGAAAAGGATGATTTAGGACAAATAATCATACTAGACAAGAAATCCTCAATTAACCGAGGCGAAACTAAGAATGTAAAAGGATAAAATTTGTAAGATACTTAAATATAACATTGAGGAAAATAGAGACTTATTGGACGAATTAAATAGAGTAAGACATAGAAATGATAAATAGCGTCGAAGTACAATAATAGGTATTGACTGAAGTGAATCTCGACATATAGAATTTAAATGGAGTAATTAAAACAATATAAAAGAAAATGTTAAATGAATTATGTGCTTGAATGTGAAGAACATAATGTTAACTGAATAGGTCAAATTAATTATAGCAATATAAAATAATGTAAAATAATGTAAACATGATAAAGAAGCAGGTAAAAACTTCCTCCGAACAAATTAGTATGAAAGGGTAAAATTTTTGGGTGTTTTTAATGTAGAATTAAGTGGTTAGTGAAATAATTGGGCAAAAGTTGTGAAAGGTTAAAATTTGATTAATATGGCAAAAGATTGACTAATAATAGTTAATGGAAGTAATTACAAGCCATGGAAAATAATTATGAAATCTATTATAATAAAATTGAGCAATTAGTAATAGACTTATGTAACTAGTGTGTATGTGAGGGATAGTTGGTATAATCTAAAAAAAAAATTAAAGGAATGAATGAGGAAAGGATCGTGGATGTTGTAGGAAAACTTAATAAATTAAAGGAATTTGATGTATCTTGGTAGGGAGTTATTTATGTAGAAAGGACTAATACTATTTATTAATCTAAGTTAAGTATAAGAAAACTTATATAAAATCTGCTTTAAAGAATCAAGTACGAAAGTAGATTGAGGTGCTAAATAAAAAAAAATTTAATAAAAAATTGGAAGAGGATGAGGTCGATAACTCATCATGATTAAGTAGAGATTGTTAATTTAAATTAATTATAAGAAATGTATATAAAATCTGCTTTAAAGACGTAAGTACGAAATTAGATTGAGATGCTACGTAAAAAATAAAATAAAATAAAATAAAAGTTAATAAATTTGGAAGAGAATAAAGGTCAAAGATAACTCATAATGATGAAGTAGAGATTGAAAAAAAAAAGAAGCAATGACCTTAGGATGGAAAATAAATTTTGTGTAAAATAATGGTTTTTACCGCCTTAGATTCCATGTACCCATCCTTAAAACTCTTTTTACGGATAAAGACTTAAATGAGGTTGGGTACACTAAGGAGATAATGAAAAGGATAAAAGAAGATTAAAATGAATCAAAAAGCTAAAGAATTTTGGATAAGACTAGGGGATGTTAAATCGTAGAAAAGCCGATGATGAATTAATATGGTTCCAATTAATTTTATCTACGTGGAATACTAGAATAAAATAATTAGAAACAACATTGGAAAACGAAGAAAATCGATGGTAAGAAATAATACATATAAAAAATAATAAATAAAAAAAATAAATGATGATGATCATAAATAACTAAAAAAATATTTTTATACCACGATTGAGATTGGTTTAAAATAAAAGTAAATGCAAATTTCTATTAAAAGAATTTCAAGGTTTTGTGTGAGTGACATGCCGACGTTTTTAAAAGTGGAAAAGGAAAATTATTTTAAAAGTTTTTTAAATAGTCAGTTACCCATAGGATGGTCCACCTAGGCTGTAGTTGTTAACTCATTCGTCGAATTTTTGAATAAACGATTAATCTACCAATTTATATCAGTGAATATTAATAAATAAAGACTTAAATTGCTCAAAAATCCTTAGTAGACACATTTGATGAAAGGTTTGATATGAGATAACTAGTGTTGTAGACCATTATTATAAATGAACCCACTGAAATAAATTCTTTCTTAAGAAAAAGAGATATGACATCAATAAAAGAAATGAATTTATTAAGGTAGAAATTTAACTTGGTATAAGAGATACAAGTTAGTGAAAACTTATGACAAGAGGTTATTAAGAATTGAAAATTTAATACTTGCCCTTTTAGACTACAAAGGGAATTGTGACAAATCAAGAACTTAAAGAGACTTGATATGTAAATTTAAAACTTTCAAGGTAATTTACGAGATCAATAAAGAAAACTAGTCAACTTTAGTGGGATGTTTTGAAAGTTAAAAGATAGTTAACTACAATACAATTTAAATATGTGACAATTAATTTTTCCGAGCTCTTCAAATAAATATTAAATTAATTTAATTTAAATCCTGACAGGATGGTTGTCGGTAAAGAAAAAAAAGAATATTCGAAGTTGAAATCCTCCTGTGAAGACAAAGCTTTGACTTAATTGATTAGGGGGCTACTTAAAACTGATATCAGTAGTAGATGTAAACAAACCCATAAATGTATTAAACACATTAAACTTCAAAGAGGAAAAGTTCGAGAAATAGTTATTGAATAAAGTGAAATGTTACAAGTTACTAGTTGATATTAGTTGAGAAAAAATTAAAGTGAAACGAACTGTGAAGTGAATCGTCAGGTAATTAATAAAATTTAATGCCAACCGAAAAGGATGAAAAGACATGAAACTAAGTCGAAGGTGTAAGATAATAAGGTGGCAATGTGCTAACCTGAGAAACTAGAAATGATAAGGTGAAATGGATAAATTCAAGGAAAGTTATAACATAACCATTGTTTAGACTAAATAAATAAAAAGAGAAGAATAGATAATTGATATGATTTAAAAAACTTGAATAAATAAAAAATAAAAATAAAATAAAAATAAAAAAAAATAATAATTTAAACAATAGCTTATGTATTATAAATATGTTAGGGCCTTGCTATTATTTCATAAATAAGGTATAAACTGAACTGTCATATGAAAACGAGTAAATTATGTAATTCAGAGTTGGGTGAAAGAAATGGAATTAATGAAGCCTACTTAATTGGTGTGATGTCGGAATAGTAAGACACCATTAGGTCGGGACTCATGAACTATTATTGAAATAATAGATATTAGGTTGAAACGATAGTGATCTATAAGCCGTGAAAAATCATGATTCGTAGTATAAAGAAATTAAGTGGAAGGAATACTTAAATAAGTATGCTTCAATATCCTTAAGATGAATTAACAAGCAACATAAGTGAAATGAGAGGATATTATGAAAGTCAACTTTTAATGATAAATTAAATGTGAAGATAATTTAAGGAATAAGCATTAGACAAAGGGACGGTCGGTTAAATAGAAAACTGTGGGAATCCATATAGAGTAAGAAAACTAATAGTGCAGGGATGTCCTTAGTAAATGAGCTATTTAAATAATTGCGCTAGTGTACCATAAAAATATTATAAGAATAAAACTTGTATAAAAAGAACTGATAGAGTCAGTTCGAATAACCCTGCGATATTATAGACACTTATTATAGGTAAATTAAATTTCAAATTGTTTTGTTTTTGCAAATTATATATTTGGTTTTCATATGCGTAATAAAATGCGTAATAAAATTTAATATATATATATAAATATAGTAAGCATTTTATTGAAAGGCTAGGTTAATTATAAGATTTTTATTTCAAAAGATTTCCTAGCAACGGAATTTTATTCTAAATATGACAATTGGCGGTAGAAATACAATCAAAATACCCCACTCACTTTGTTTCCTCAGTCTGTATTTTCGCTCTTGAGCTGTCTCCTTGGTATTGGAAGCAATTTCTTATAACTTTACAATTTTCCATGCGTCCACATTCTTATTCTGTCCCACTAGAATCAATTCGAGGACGAATTGTCTTAAGGGGGGGGAGATTGTAATACCCTGAATTTTTATTTTCTTTATTTTTAAAAACTTTTAGAAATTTTTCTTTAGAATTTTTATTAAATCAAAAATCCAGATTTATGATAATATGGGCTGTTAAGATCGAGTAATTCTAATTGAGCCCAAAGTTTTACGAATTGGGCTCAAGTCCAAAAATATATTATTTAGAATTTTCGTTTGGGTAATACTTAAAATTTCGATGAAAATAAAATGGAAAACTAATTGTTAATCGATTAAAAATGTGTCTATATATATGTAACTACCATATAAATTAATCAGCCTAAAATTAAAAATCTTTGTTATTAATATTTTATGAATAAATTGAGAAAATATTACGGAACTGAACAAAATAATCAAATAAATAAATAAATTGAACTGGACCCCAAAAATCAAATTAATTTTTCGAAAACCAGATGAAAAAAATCCATAAATCAATTGAAAAACCAAGCCTAAAAACCATGATTTAAAACAAACCCAGACTCGAATCGACCAACCCCATCCCCACATTAGAAAATTCTAGACAATAAACAAAAAAAAACCAATTAGAAAATTCTAGAAAAAAAAAGAAAAAAAAAAGAAAAGAAAGAAAAGAGAAACGAGAAGAGAGACTCAGTGGTCTCTTTCTCGCTCTTCTCTCTCAACAACCCCCCTCCCCTTTTCTTCTCGTTCTCCGACCACCGGCCGCCAAATCCGGCAAGTAGATACTCTAAAAATATCTACTCGTCACAAGGAGTTTGATTTAAACTTTGGTTTGCGCGATTTGAGCCCGGATTGAGAGAAATCTCGACCGAAACGTTTAGCACCGTTGCAACAACTTCTCCAGCGATTTCCCATCGTTTCCGATGACTTGAGGCATCGAGGTAGGTGTTGATCGACTCCTCTCTTCTTCCTCTTTCATTTGGTAGCCTCCTCGTCGACTGTAATAGCCGGAATCGGAAAAGGAATAGGAAAACACAAAATGGGTATCACCGAACCTTTCCGGTCAATTTTTTAGGCCAAATAGTTCACACCCAACCTTGAATTTTGAATACATATTAGTGATCCCTCATCGAAACGAATAAAATGATGTTGTTTGTCAATTTTGGTGAAGGTTAAAATTTTCCGGCCACCAATGCACGGCGGCGACGGCGGTGGTCCCGGCGAGACTCCGACGAAGACCCCGAGAGGCAGAAATGATCTCCTCTTCGCGCGGATCACGACATAAATCTGATTTTCAATCGGTAACACTCTAAGCTTAATTCGCAATTTTGAATAAATCCGAATTAATTAATTAATGAACTTAATTAAGTATTTTAAGTAAATTAAATTATTTAAAATTAAATATTGTTTTAAATATATTTCATGAAATATTATTTATAAGGTTGGTACTAAAATATATATTCCTAGCTAATAATAACTTTTAGGAATTTATTAAATAAATAGTTATAAAACAATTAATTTTTAATGGGCTTGTGAATTAAGTTGACCGAAATAAATGCGGTTATGGCGGACGGGATTAGTGGATATGAATTTGCCCGATGGATGGGCTGTGCGTGGGATTGTGAAAATTTGATAAATTGGGTAGTACAGTTTATAGAGGAATGCTTGCCGAAATTTCCGGCGAAACACTTAGTAAAGAAAATCCGTATAGATAATAAACGACTAATGATTATGTTTGTGATATTATATTATCAATCGTATTAATACTATAATAATATTAATTATATTAAATTCGTATTCCTTCTTAAGCGTTATATAAAATATTAATTAACGGATAACTAACGTTTTATTTAAAAGGCGATAAATTAGAATAAATAATAAATAAGGAAACCCAATATTATATCTTAATAAGTGAATTAAGATAAATAGCTATAGAGCCTCAAAAAGTGGTAACGAATGCAAAGTATATTTATGAGGTTAGGATTTTTATACAGGATTTTCTTTCTAGATGTGTATGAGCTCTGGGATGGTGAGACAAAAGCTAGAAGGATGCAGTACTAGAGATAGTCCTTTAGAGGGCAATAAAGAACTGTGAGTAGTGTTAGATAATTCGCCTCATCCGCCTGCATTCATGCATTCTCAGCTAAATGTTATCATGCATTATTTTATTGAATTGCCATATTATGATGCACTATTTGTTGATAGTAAAAATTGTTTGATTACTTGTGCTTTGATTACTTTGTGCTATGAAATAATACTCGTGCCTTTGTTTTGTGTGGAACTTGGGATGAAGTGGACCACCATGGGTTTTGTGAGCGACGGTTCCTGTGATGGTGGATCCGAATATTATATGATATTGACCGTCGGCCGGGAAAATGGGAGATCGGCGCCCACCGTTGTGCACCTGATGATATGGGTTATATAGAACCACAGGAATGGCCTCTTGTTGTTGCGCACGCTGATAATCTGATTTGATTGTAGCCCGCAGGGTGGCCTCCTGTTGTGAGCACTTGATGTCTTTAGATTGGATGGAGAACCAACGGGTTGCCTCCTGTTGGTATGGAAAAGAAAAGAAGAGAGAAATGAAAAACAATGAGAGGACTGGTCAGTGAGGATTAGACATTATACCGGTCAGCCAGAATGGGGGATTGGCTCCCTAGTGCACATGTGAGTGGATGGGCCATGTGGGAGGACGGTTCATCGGGTTTCGATGACTCCACTGACTAATTTCCACGTGATGTGATTATATGAAGGTGATAATAACTGTAATTGTTGTTGTATTGCCATTTGTGTGACAAACTGCATGATCATATAACTAAACGGTTGATCACATGAAAATAATTTAGCATTTGTATAATTGTGTGGGGTGAGAGGGTTATCTAATCCTGCTCACTGAGTTTAGTACTCACCCCCCCTCCAGCCTCCCCAGGTAATAGGTGGAAAGAAGAATCCTGGAGTTCAAACGAACGAACGAGATGTGGATCGGTAGGAGTAATAATTTTTGAATGTGTAAATGCAAAGGATAGCGAATTATGGAGTAGAGTTCCGCAATTGTATTCCAACGGGGTTGTAAATGAATAGATAGAGTATAGACATTTATTGTATGGATTGTACTTTGGATATTTTTGTAAAATAAATTATTGGGCCTGACTCCACAATTGTGAATAGAATGCGAGTTTTAAGTAATACAGGCTTACTACGGGCTTCGGGGGCCTTAAGCCTACCCAGGTCTTAGTGCCGGTCCGGTCGCTTCGGGGGCCTTAAGCCTACCCAGGTCCTAGTGCCGGTCCGGCCCATGGAAATGGGTCGTGACAATATTATGTTGGTGCCATGACTGGATTGCAGTTGGATTCAGTCAACTCGGTTCAATCGAAATTTTTTTAAAATTTATAAATAAAAATTCAAAATAATGAAAGGATTTTATAAACAAATAATTTTAAATTATAATTTAAGTCATTTATTATTAAATATCAATCAAAGCCAAAAGAATAATAAATTTTTGAGTACATTAAAATATGCAAGATGACTCTTTTATTTCTTTAAACTAACACTTGTTATTTCCATAATTAAAAAGCAAAGACAAATCTCTCTTGAGAAAACCAACATAATCAATGTTTGAATTTCAAATTCGATACCCATCAAACCAGTCCATTTTTTTTTTTTATTTAGATTATTTTCATCTTTCTTTTGATACCCCATTAAAAATTAAAACACCCCTCCCCTTTGCAGATGCCTCAAATAGTTTTACAATATAGTCCACCAAATCAATCTCATATGTACTTTGCGTAAAAAATCTCATGACACTCTCATTTTTTATTTTGACCTATTAAACACTTTAATTTATAAAATTTATCAATTAAATACTTCAATTTGCAAAAAAAAAAAATTATTGAATACTCAAACTTCTAAAATTAGATCAACTAAACACTTATTAAATAGTTAAAAAATATGAAAATTTTTATTTCAAAAATTCTACTAATCACATATTTAGTGAATACATTGCACGTAAATGCCAAAAACATAAAAAAAAAATGTTGTTATTATTATTATTGTTTTTTGAAAGAGAAAATGATTTCATTAGCTCAAGGGAAAAAAAATTCAACGAACGGTAGGGAATAGTATTCTAAATATGAAAAAAAAATGTTATTATTAGTATACATGCGTTATAATATTAGCAAAATTCGTAACTTTAAGGATATAATATGTCACTCGTAAAGTTTAGGGTGTCACAAAATTTTTCCGTAAAATACAAGAATATATTTATGCATTTGGTCATTGATTTATTAATTACTTAAACATATTTTCTCATTGCAAGTAGCGATCTCACAGCAAAGAGCCGCCTTGTCCCTAGCACATAAGAAAAAAAATCTGATTCTTAGGCAGCTCATGTAATATGGGATCTTTTATTAAAACATTGCCATTAGAATAAAAACTGGGTTTAGGCGGAGAAATTTGGTTTTTGGATGTTTCCAGATTTTTTTCGGATCAACTTAGTTTTTATTTTTTCTAGCTTTTATGTTAAACCAAATCAGACCAGTCATTGCTTTGATTTGCGAATTAACCGGTCTAATTTTAAAAACACTGTGAAAAATTAAATGTTCTGCATATGATACAATAGCAATTGAATGTTTTTATATAATAACAGAAAATCTTCAACCTCCTGCTCTGCCTCCTGTTGCCCTTTTTATAATATACTTTAGCACTAGCATTTGACCAAAGATATGTTCTTTTTCACTTTTGGTTATCCAGAAACTATTTAATTTTTCTCCAATATCTCAAAGTTTCTCAAATTAAATTATATATATGTGACAATTAAACTTTTAATTTCAAGTTAGTTGGGATAAGTAGCTAGTTCATTTTCTTTTATTCACTAATTGTATGTTATTTCCAACATATAATTTTTTTTTTGAAGCAATTAGTAGTAGGAATTTAGAATGGATATGCAAAGTCTATGATCTTGATCATTCAAGATTAGTTCTTCTAAAAGTTTTTCTCTTTTGAATTAGAAAATCATGCAGATGTTGATAAAAGAAAACACAAAAATCTAATGCTATTTTTGTTTGTTAAGCACAATAAATATGACTATATACTTAAGTTTAAAATTATGAAAATTTCTAACTATTTATTTACAGTTTATTGATAAAAATATATCCAAATTTTTTGTCTAATTTTCATTGTGTAGCCAATCATTTGATTTCTGTAAATTGTATAAACAATCACGTTAATAACTAATTAGCTATTAATTATAGCTAAACTTGGAAAAGCATATGCTATAATTATCTATTAAAAAAAAATTCAAATATCATTTTAATTATATGGTATATTTATGTGCAAGAACCTCACAAAATTTATTAAATATAGTTTATAAATTATTGAATACTATTTAATAATGAAAATAAAATAGAGAAAAATTATGAACTTAAAAAGTAAATATATATGGTACGATGAAAACTACAGCAGTAATTTGCAAACTAGTTGAAAGTTAGCAAAGCTGTAATAGTGTTAACTGTTAAGTCCTCATTTTTCCCATATATGCCCCCACTTTATCCAAAATTTAGATTTGAAACCTCAAATTAGAAATGCAAATTTAATGATGAGGTACTTTTGATAATAGGGAAATGCATAAATTTATTTATGTAATTTACAAAAAAAAAATATATATATTATTTTGGGACACTTTACAAGGGATCTATTATCTTAAAGTTATGAATTTTAATAACATTATGCCTCTCTACATAATAGCAATGACATTTTTTTTTGTGTTTTTAATATTTGCGTGTAAAATATCACTTATATTTAGTTAGTATAATTTAATAATTTTTGTTATTTTTCAATTATTTAATAGATGTTTAATCGATCTAATCTTTTGCAAGTTCAAATATTTAATAGTGTAATTTTACAAGTTAAAATATTTGATATTTATAATTTGAAGTGTTTAATAAGTCAAAATAAATATTAAGAATATCAGGAAGTTTTTTTATGTAAAGTACATGACCTTTTAATAATACAAGATAAAGATAATTTTAAACATTTAAATAAATACATATAAAATAACACAATTATGGGAAGACACAAAAATCACGAGAAAAAAAAATTGATTTATAGTAAATTAAACGATTTTACAAATATTTGATGTATCATACATTGAATAATTTGTTATGAATTAATCTCAAATAATTCCACAATAACCTAGATCATGCACACCACTAGATTCAACAAAATAGATTGAATAAGAAAAGGTTGCGTACAGGTTGCGTACCTGACATCGTGTTCTCGATCTTGATCGTGTAGAATTAGGTTTGCAGGCCTTTCCAGAGAATTGAAGATCGATTGTTGCGGAAGCAGTACGAAAGGAACGTAAAAACTGAATCGTAATTCATCCTCTCGGGACCACACTTTATATACACTGTAGGTTAGTACAATTCCTATTTCGTATTTCGGTCCTTTAACGAAATAGGAATTATATAATGGTCTCTACACTTAATATCTATAATTAGTTGATACCTCAATAGTCAATTATTTACAATCAAAACCACATTTGAAATTGACTTTACAATTGGACTGCTGTACATATTTTTTTTTACATATTAAGCCCACAATAGAAAATTAAATCCAACAATTTGATCTAATACTTTGTTCTCAATATATTTGAATCGGGCTGCCTCTGAAACCATTTGGATAAAAGAAACTAGAGGTTTAGCAATGTCTGCTGGTAGAGAACTTTTTTGAAGATCATATATGTAATTCGCCATTAGAATCTCATGACTAATTTTCATCATTTCAACTACATTACAAAATATCCCATAAATGACATATATTTTCATTATAGAAGTGTACATGAAAACTACATGTAATGTGAATCATCATGTTGTTTCCAACTTGAGTCACCAAACAAAGTGAGATCAAGACAAGAAAACAACAATAATAATTACAGAGTGTAACCATCAACCCAAAATGATACTCAAAACAAAATTTCAAATTTCATAATAAAACATATCCAAAACAAAATAGAGCATTCAAAAAACATAACGTATACATAAAGAGCAAACTCCCACTAAAACTAGACAGTCTCAAACAAAACGATACCCATATGAGCGTTGTGCTCATGGAAAACTTTCGTTATCACTGCCTTTGTAAGCGGATCCGCAATCATAGAGTTTGTTCCAATATGCTCTAAGGATATCTGTCCACTCTGAACCCTCTCCTTCACAGCCAAGAACTTAATCTCAATGTGTTTTCATCGAGAAGAGCTCCTGTTGTTGTTGGAGAATAAAACGGCTGACCTGCTGTCACAATACAACTTCAGTGGTCTTTCTATTCCACCTACTACACTATTCCACCTACTACACGCAGCCCAGTGACAAGGTTTCTCAACCAAATAGCTTGATTGGATGCCTCATAAGATGCTACAAATTCAGCTTCCATGGTGGAGGTTGCTACTAGAGTTTGTTTCACACTCTTCCAAGAAATAGCACCGCCAGCCAATAGAAAACGTAGCCAGATGTGGATTTTCTACTGTCTTGGCATCCAACGAAATCAGAATCAGTATACCCAATGATCTCAAGCTGATCTGATCTCCTATATCTCTGAAGATATCTCATGGCTCTTTTGGCTGCTTTCCAATGATCCATTCCTAGATTGCTGAGATATCTACCTAACATGCCAACTATAAAAGAAATGTCTGGACGAGTACAAACTTTAACATACATAAGACTTCCTATAGCTGACGTATAAGGAACCTTTTGCATTTCCTAAATTTCAAGTTCACTCTTTGGACATTGTTGATTACTAAATTTATCACCTTTTGCAATAGGGGTATCCAATGGTCTTTATCAAATATACTCTTTGTGATAATCCCAAGATACTCGAGAACGGTCTCATGTATCTGTAATCCCTAAAACAAAAGAAAGCTTCCAACCTTAAATCTTCATCTCAAAAATCTTTGAAAGAAAACTTTGTTCATGTAGCAGACTTTACAATTTATAGCAAAAGTATGACATCCACATATAATACTTTTGCCTCAAAGCCAAACGAGACAATTACTTAGTTGAACTTAAAGTACCATTGACGAGAAGCTCGCTTGAGTCCATAAATGGATTTCTTTAATTTGCATACCAGATGTTTTGGATCTCCAATTACAAAATTTTCTGGTTGCACCATATATATTGTTTCATCAATGTTGCCAT